TACCAAAGAGCCTATGTGCTTAGGCATTAGCTAATTCTGGGCATGCCCAGCAATAGAGAGTGCTGTTATGCTTACAGAATCAACAAGAATACACAACATATGATGGTGACATAGAGGTTATGATTCCAAGGGAATCAAGTTTGAGCCATAGACAATAATACTCAATACTGTCATGTCTCAAATAAACCATTATCATCAAACACATTGGGGTAGGGGGTTTGGGATTCATAATAGAAGGAAATTATAGCATACTAAAGTAAACACTGAACTAAACACAAACAGTGGGCAGACATGCAAGTAAAGGTATTAAGTAAACATATTGTTTGTGATTGCTGAAATTCTAAATCAGGACATACCAGTTCAAAGAGCAAAATACAGTAAAAGCAAGTAGCAGGGCTTGAAGGCAGGCCACAGTAGAAGTAGTAAAGCAGGAGAGAAAAGTTTTTTTTTGAGTGTAAGTGATATTTAAGAACTCAGAGTGTTCGTGTGTGTCTGTGTTAATGAAAGAGCAGGGTATTTGTAGTTGGAAAATAGGTAGCAAATAAGGCAAGAATCATAGTTTAGTGGTAATTATGGAACTATGTACCAATTAAAATCAATCAGTACAAGGGCTTCCTTTAATTAAGGAGTTCAAACTTAAACGGTAATGGGCAGAAAACTTTTAAGGAAAGAAATCAAGTAAGCACCTTGTGCAAAGTAGGCAATTAGGGGTAAATACATAGGGGTTTAACTAAGGGAAGAATTAATGAAGAATCTTTGAAATACACGGTTAACCAAATAAGGTAAGAAACAGAATAAACCAACCAGTATATAGTAAATCAAGGAGTCAGGGATTTGAATTATAAATAAACCAAGTCAGAAATAGGAGAATCGAAAGGCTAAGGGAAAGTTCTCAAATCAACCCAAGAATCAGGGAAATCAGTAAAATAAGGAAAGAATCAATCAGACTTACACAAGGAGGCTTGAAATCAGTCCCAAATTGAAGGTCATTTTAGAGGGAAACTCAGCATATAAAAGAGTATATAAGTATTAAGCAGGCAAGGCTGAATTTAGGACAAAGAGGAACATCATATAGTAGCAAACACAGGTAGTCACATAGGTCGATTTCAGTTACTCAATAACAGAGAAGAGAAAGTATCAAATAGCATGCCAAAGGGTCAAGTAAAAGAGAGTTTAGCACGAAGTTAGAATCATATAGAGAAACAAAAGATTCAGAAATTCAATCGAGCAGTAGATGAAACAACTTTCAGAAACTCGAATTGGTTCAAAGAAATTAGGGCTTTGAAACCAAACAAGTTCAGAGATGAAGAACAAGCGAATCACATAGCAAATAGTCTCAAAACTCAAATGAATCCCCAAATTTAGGGTTTTCACCATCAATCGAGTGTAGAGATGAAAACAAGTAAATCAGGCAGAAATACTAACGAAATAAGTTTAGAAATCTCAAAAGGGAACTAAGACTTTTAACATGCATATTCCAGTAGCAGAACAACATAAAGAAACACAGCAGAAAAGCAACACAGTAGAAGAACAACATAAGAAACACAGTAGAAGAGCAACATAAGAAACACAGTAGAAGAACAACGTAAAAAACACAGTAGACATGTTTAAAAAATCAGAAGAGCTTCGAAATAAAGTAACAAAAAAACCCTAAGTCAGAAAAGACAAAGGTTCTGAAAGTAGAGTTTTGAAAGAAACCATGAGAAAATGTTTAGGAGCTTAGAGAAAACACAGATCTACAACGGATCTAAAAGAAACAGAAGAACCTCGAAGGTTAGGATTTCAGAAGAACCCAGATGGTGAGAAACGCTTGGAAAGTCATTGATCTGAGCAGGAGGAGCCAAGAGTCATGCTTGAATAGCCATGGCTGGCCGGAGCAAGGTCGAAGATGACCGGAGACAGCATAGCACCGAAATAGACCAAGGTCTGGACCAAGCTTCTTCAAAGTCTGGTCTTGAAACCCTAATAATCGAGCATGTAGGAGTTATAGGAGGCAGGTACATGCCTTTAATGGCTTTGGAAGCCATGGATTCAGGCGATTTTGGGGTGGAAGTGGAGGGATGCGGCTAGGGTTTCTGAGAGAGAATTGGGAGAATGGGGGATCCAAAGGCGGCTACCGGTGAGAAATGGTTAGGTTTTGGGGGGTAATGGGAAATTAAAAAAGGAAAGATTAAAGGGTGACCGTTGATCATTTGATCAACGGCCTGGATTGAATAGGGATCCGGGCGGGGTTATTTTAAAAGGGTCGTGGGCCGGGTAGACTAGGATTTGGGTCAGGGTAATTGGGTTTTAGAATTGGGTTTAATTGGGGGTTGATTTGGGGCTACAATTAAAATAAACGGGGCTAGTATTTAAATAGCCACTTTTCCCTTGTTTAATTTTATAAAAATAGTAAAATAATTTCTGGGAACAAATTAAAGGCATTAAAAATGATTAATTATACGTAATTATCAAATTAAAAATACTGGAGTCAATTTTATAATTATAAACATAATTAAACCTTAAAAGAGGCTAATATTGCAATTATATGCAATTAGCTTTTAAAATACTAAATAAATTTGTAAAAAATGTGCAAAAATTATGTTAGCTATATTTTAGTGTAAATATGAGAATCCAATAAATGAATTACCAAAATGATAATTTTTGGGAATAATTATTGAGTTTTTTTCTTGACAAAATAAGGCAATAAATTAATTCAAAAATCTTTTAAAAATTAGGAAAAATAATAAAATATTGGGACATACTTGTATATGCATATACATGCTATTTTGAAGGTATTTTACATATTAAAATATACAGGAAAAAATTGGGTATCAACAGCGCCATCACAGCTCTGGTGGATTTTTGTGCTGTGATATTGAAGCTCATAAGCATGGGTTAAAAATATTTTTTGTTTTTAGTATATGAAGCAACGAGATTTTATGAAAATATGATTGAAAATTTATCTTCAAATGTAGCATTTTGGAGTTTTTTTGGATAGAAAACTTCGTTAGCATCAAACTGGTTGCAACATGATCTGCACCTGCCTTGTACCTGTCTTTAACCTCATTAAACGATTAGTCCTTATACTACTTATTGAGATCGAAATAACATGGTGTCGTGCGGAAGCTAGTCGAGCAAACCTTGAACGACGATAAATTAGACAACAAGAAAAATATCTTAAAAGAGGCATAACATACATTATATGGTTTAGGTCAATTGACCTACATTGATCTAGTGATATAAAAGAAAAAGGCTTATTGAGAGAAAAAACTCTCCCCCTAAATAAGACTTTTTAAGGACTACATTGTGGATGTTTTTTTTGTGTTTTCTTTATGAATGAGGGACCCTAAATTTATAGAGGTCCGCAATCTTTTCCTCCAAGAAATAGATCTGTCATATATGGAAGATATTTATATTTTCTTTATAGGAAAGTAAAATTAATTATGGTAAACTATTTTCCCTTACTTCAAGAAAAGGTAAAATCCAAATATAAAAAGAAAATCAGGATAAAATCCTAACAAGGCGTGATAATTAATTTTTCATGAAACTGCGCCTCATTTAATTTCAGCTTCCCCATCTGGTCCATTAAGTACCTGCAATTACATAAGAGATTGTTAAGTATGAGTTCATTTATACTTTGTTAATACTAAAAAAAAGAGAGAGAGAGAAAGAAATGAAATAAGAAAGTAGAAGGGAACAAGACGAAATAGGACAATAATGGTCATTAGAAGATAGAGCAAATCGTTTGTCTAATATAGGAGTCGTGGCGAGGAGGTTGCGATTAGGGATGACAATGGGGCGGCGCTGGTGCTGAGCGGATTTTATTTGATGTGGGGCGGGACAGGGCGGGTTAAAGCAATTTTTACAATTTTTAAAGCAGGGCGGGGTGGGTTGTGGGTTTAATGCGGGGCTACTTTGAATTTTATCTTTTTTGAAACAAAGCAATCATTTCAACTACAATTTCACTTTTTTTTTTCACTAGCACAAATACTATTTTGATTTATAATTAACCAATTTGCATAAGTCTCACCAAAATGATATTACATAAGTCAAGATATCCATTAGTAATTAGGAAATGATAGTAACCCGTTTATTTTGGAATATCAGCGTAATACTCTCTCAGTTTTATGTTTATGTGATTCTATTAAAATCTCCGTTCTATAAAATAATAAAATGTCAAACTAATTTGTTTTAGAAAAAATATTAAGTGGGGCGGGGCGGGTCCAAGCGGGGCAGGTTGAAAGCTGAAAAATAACTATGCGGGGCGGGTTGAAATTTTTGTGGGTTTTTCCAAATCCGCCCCGCCCCGCCCCATTACCATTCATAGTTGCGATGAATCGGCGATCATTTTGCCTGAAAAGGCTCTGCCATCGGTCCGTCAAAAGTATCATATTCTACTCCAACTATATTCAACGCCTTGCACCTTAAAACAGCTAAACAAGCCATCTCATTTCTTTATTGTTGCCGAGTTACCTCATTGACATTGTAAGTTTCTTACACTATCAGATTAAAATAACTTAGGATATTTATGTGTATACATTAATCCTAATTTGTAATGTAAATGATGCAGTAAAGAATATGCTATAATCAGTTAAAAGTACATCAAAAATATAAAATTTATTACAATATATATATCGCGTTAAATCCTTGTTAATATTCCATTTCTTTCTCTTTTTTCTTTCTTCGTTGTTTTTGTTGTTCCTTCTTATAAATTTGGGGTTTTGAGTGTTTTCCCTTTTCATAATTAAAGCCGTCAAGTAAAGCCGTACTTAAACGTTGTACACAAAGTCGTAAGTATTTCTTTATTATTGCACATAAGATACGTTAGTTTTCATGCGCTTAACCGCATACTTTCTTGAAGGGAAAGTTTGAAGCGAACATGCTCATAGTATGCCGTCGACGTGTGACATACACTTTTAAGTTCATTGATGCATTAATTTCTCCAATCATTGCCCAATTACAGGCAATAAATTCAAGAAAGAGATCTGAAAACCCTATAAATATTATGGTTAGTTATCCGTTTTTCCCAATTCGAAATATCAACTTTTGTTTGTATTGCCAAAAGAAAACCCAAGGAAGAAGTCCATTTTTTGTCTAAATGGATAACCTGATAATATCTTGCACTACTATCCTCTTCTTATCTTCTATATTTCTATTCTTGCAATCAAATGCAACATCAACCTACAATGTGTTAAGCTTTGGTGCAAAACCAAATGGCCAAACTGATGCAACTCAGCCATTTCTGAAGGCATGGAGCGCTGCATGCAGCTCAGTGCAACCAGCGACCATTTACGTTCCCCGAGGACGTTATCTTATAAAGGCAGGAACATTTAGAGGGCCATGTAAAAATAGAATAACTCTAAGGATTGATGGAACCCTTGTGGCTCCATTGGATTATTGGGCCATTGGCAACTCCGGCTACTGGCTTTTGTTCATTCAGGTCAATGGGATTTCCGTCATCGGTGGAAATCTTGATGCTAAAGGAGCAGCTTTTTGGGCTTGCCGGAAATCGGGCAATAATTGCCCAGTTGGAGCTAGGGTATGTTTTTTAATACTCTCTCCGTTTCAGTTTATGTGAATCTATTTTCTTTTTGGTCCGTTCCAAAAAGAATGACCCCTTCTAAATTTGGAAGCGATTTAGATTAAACTTTCAATTTTACTGTTAATGATAAGCTTTTATAGCCGCACAAATACTCTGGACCTCTTTTTGACTTGTTTAGGACCATAAATTTCCAAAGTATTCATTTTTTCTTAAACTCCGTGCCAAAGCAAACATGTACACATAAATTGGAATAGAGGGAGTAACTCGATTTCATGCACTAAGAAATTCTCTCTGTTACAATTTATGTAATAATATTTGACTGGGCACAATATGTTTATGAAATTAAGAAAGGCTTAACCAAATATATATGGAAAGTATCAAGAAATGTGTAATTCTTTTTTAAACAAAATAAGAAGGAAAGTATGTCACAGAAAATGAGACAGATGGTATTTGATCAAAATTGAAAAATGACCAACTTTTCTTGAAGGTTTAGGTCTTAAACTATACCTAGTAGGTAGCTTTTCTTCGTTAAGTATAATCATTCAATCTTGAAAAATCATTTTTCTTCTTCTAGTACTTGAATAAGAGTTGTAGGGCGTGTGCCGTGGTGATGGTAGAAGAAGAAAGATTGAACATTCATGTTGTAATTCTATTTCAACAGCAAAAATACTACTAAGGTTTTTCATTTAAATTTTTTTTTCTGCTTCAACTTTTATACATAGTGTGAAATGGACTTAAAAATACGCACACAATTCTCTCCACCTGACATTAATTACACAGGTTTATATTATTTCCATTTCATTCTACATATATCCTTATAATATCCTTATACGTATAATATCTCAGTCCATTTTAGTACATCGAAAGTACCATGTCGTAACTATTCATGAAGAAAACAAAAATAATATAAACGTAAAATATTTCAATATTCTAAATTTCCATATGTGAAAAGTGCAGTCAATAACCTTCAATTGGGCTAATGATATTGTGATAAGTGGCTTACTATCAATCAACAGCCAGCTAACACATATTGTGATCAATAGCTGCAACAACGTGATTGTTCGAAATGTAAGCATAATAGCCCCCGATCAGAGCCCAAACACCGATGGCATTCATGTTCAATCATCAACTGGTGTTACTATCATAAATAGTAGAATCAAAACTGGAGATGACTGTATATCTATTGGACCTGGCACTAGAAATCTTTGGATGGAGAACATTCTATGTGGACCTGGACATGGTGTTAGGTAAGCACTTCATGTTACTACCATGACTGTATAGCGACAATCCTATTTAAAAGCTTAAACTATTGAAAAGATTATAATTTATTTATTTAATGATGTTTATAACAAACGTAGCTCTCACTTTCAAGCCTAATTCTTTTTTATGAGCCAAGCATGCAGATAATCTTTATTTTTATTTTTTTATAAAGGACAGCGAGGAGACTCGAACAAATAATTTTTACCTTCTTTGATAGCATATTAATGTGCGCGGTAATCCCATTTAAAAGCTTAAGCTATTAGAGACGCGCACTTTTATTTACTGTGGGTGCGTGTGCCGCGTGTATGTTTAGATCTCCTTAGGTACGTACAACGAGTATGAGTTTTTTGTATACTGCTGTAATAGTAACATTCTCTTGCTATTACAGCACAATTCGAGGAGGAGAAGAAGGGATTCGGCAATTCGAGGAACTTGTGCTAATGTTAAAACAAGAATAGCACAACATTTTTCAGAAACACTAGGATCTTATAATTTTAGAATTTCAATTCTACTTTGGATATTGATTCTACAAATAATATAAAATTGGTTTTCATAAACTACATTGAAAATACTAAATCACAATCTATCATAATCACAACAATTTTTAGAAGTGGGAGAAAATGTAGTTAATTATAAGAAGTTTGACTACTAATTAAGCTTCACTTGTTCAAACTCAAATGAGGGACTAGGGATCAATGATCAATTTCTAGGTTTTATTATACTCGGCTACATGGATCAACTAGGGTGGTCTGTTCTTGACGCTATAGGACTCTTTCCAATAAAGAGGAAAATATTATTTGACAGGTTGTTGATGTCAATATTTCGATATATATTTCAAGTAACATATATTGGGAAACATATAAGTGGAAACTAATGACTTCTGGTTAATTTATCGAAGGGATGTTGACCTTATCATGTGAGTCATGGTTCACTTCTCCGGTTTCACCCAAAAATCTTTAGACTTATGGTCATTACGTTCAACTTAATTGACCATCCTCTTATTTGACCATCAACTTACTAATTCAATCAATGTCCTTTTATTTGACATGCATGATTTAGTTTAGGGTTTATGTTATGTTAAGATGTACTTTTATTCTTTCTCTTGCAGCATTGGAAGTCTAGCAAGGAATTATGAAGAAGATGGCGTGCAGAATGTGACATTGGTTTACTCGATATTCACAGGATCTGATAATGGGTTAAGAATAAAATCTTGGGCAAGATCCAGCACTGGTTTTGTCACCAACATTAATTACCGCAACATAGTCATGAAGTACGTTGACAATCCAATCATCATTGATCAGAATTACTGCCCAAACAACCAAGATTGTCCAGGCGAGGTAAATATTCTTCGAACGAACAGAAAAAGATGGGTGTTTATCCTTTGCTTTCCTCTCGAGAAGAGTTTTAAACGATATTAGGGCATATTTTGATATATAAATATTGAGCTGATTGAGTACTCTTTTAACCTGTTGTTCAATTTGTTTATTGATTTCCCCTGTAGAAAAATTGTCTGGTAATTGCTACAGAGGTAATGATGAATCTAAGTTGTTATGTAATTATTTAGTTTTTGGTTAATTGCAGACTTCTGGTGTAAAGATTAGTCAAGTAACGTATGAAAATATACAAGGGACGTCAACAACTCCAGTAGCTATGAAATTTGACTGCAGTCCCAGCAATCCATGCAAAGGAATCCAGATAAAAGACATAAAGCTTACTTATATGAACAAAAAGGCACAATCTTTTTGCAAGAATGTTCAAGGAAGTAAAAGAGGAGTCATTTTGCCTGACAGTTGTATATGAATACAGTTCTACTTTTGAACAAGCAAGTGTTACCAATAGAAAGAAGGCTTATTTGGTCTACTCCAATAAAGTTGTACATACCTTACAACAGCAATAATATGTTTTACTTTGAAAATTATGTAAAAAAAAAATGTATTGTCAATATCCTCTAACGCAAATTGAATACACAAAGTATACTAAATTTTATTGGTCGACCTTATCAATTGTTCATAAAAGTGGGTGTATATTGTGATGGTAATGAGAATGGGTGATTCATAAATGGGTAAATGGGTTTGAAATTTATAATAGGTGTGAAAATAGGGACAATAACATAAAGCGGGTTTACCCAGTGCGCACAGAGTGCTCACCCGAAGGGCAGAGGCTGTGGCAGAGGCTGTAGCGGCTGCGAGTTTTCCTGGGGTTCCAAAAAAAAAAAGAAAAAAAAAAAAGGGAAATCATGGAAGATAGATGTGAAAATAAAGGGAGATCATGGAAGATAAATGTGAAAATAAAACAACTAACCCGTTCATATCATAATACAATTTGACAAAAATGAAACTTAAGATAACATAATCATTAATTGGGAGTTTATTATTTACCGACATAACCCTCGCCACCATGTGTACCACATGATGTCCCATTCTTTAACTGTAATGATTGAGCATCTCACCACAATGTTGTGTACATGTTGACAAGTTTTGCTAGCATGATTATTATCCTAACCAAGGGAACCCGTTCTAAGGGTGAATATCTAACCATCCAATCTAATGCTATGCCCAAAATTCTATACCGGCGCGGGTAGCTTTGGGTACACGACACTTTTGACCTTTACCTTGGTTACCTAACAAGTCTTCCAAAATACTCTTTATGTTTGGCACCTTTGACCTAAATCATTAACTATAATGTTTGGCTCATTAGCCACATAGCATTTCCTTTTCATTTCATGAACCTTCATATTTAATATTTGAAAGCCATAAAATCATATCTAAATTCGTGAAAAACCTCAGCATTAAAATAATTTCATTTGATAATTTTGAAACATGTATATCATTTGATTATGTAAAATATGACTTGCGTGACTACAATATTTAAGGAAGATCATGCAAAGGATTATTTCAAGTTTAGGAAAAGGAATACATTTACACTTTAGACATGTAGGAACTTGGAGTATTTATAATATTTTTATCATAGTAGGTGTACTATATATACATCAAGATTTGAAAGATAACATGAGAATTATATAGAGGACGATTTTACAAAAGAAAGTTTAGCCAACATACCTCAATGTTATTCCTAATGGCGTTACGATGCCCAACTAAATTTATTATGTCAATCTACAATAAGGTAAATTATTTGGGTCAATACTAGCAAGTCACTTAGGTATTTTATCAACCACCTAGTATGTACTATTTCTACAACCTTCATCAATGACATTTTATTTTCCCACCAACCAACATATGTACAACTAACAATTAACTCTCATCCATCCAATTGAATTGATTATTATATTTCACAATCTCTACAATACCCATTAATTTAGGTTAGACACTTATGGCTTCCAATCATCATTCCATAAGTTCTAACACTTATTTCTTACTCATATATCCACTAATAATTTATCCATATAAGTAGAATTACCTTTTGGATGAAACTCAAGAATTCTTCACTTGAGATCTTGAGATGATTCTTTAATAGCTTATAGATTTCATGAGTAGGAGGTATCAATTCTAGTATTAGGATGTTGAAATTGGCACAAAATAATGGAAAATCTTACCTTGGAGTGTATTTGTAACGACCCAATCGGTCGTTTTGAGCATTTGCATTTTGTTCAGTAGTTTGAAGTCTTGAGTAGCTCCGTATGATGTTTTATGACTTTTCTGAATCGTTGGTTTTGTTTTTTTAGGTGATTCGAGATTAGTTTGGACGAGTGATTTTCATGTTTGAAGCTTTAAGTTGGAAGAGTTGACCAAGTTTGATTTTTAGGTATTTGACCCCGGATCAGAGTTTTGATAATCCCGTTAGGTCCGTATGGTAATTTTGGACTTGGTTATGCCGGGAAATCCATTTGGATGTTTCTAGGAGGTTTCAACACTAATTGGCGAAATTTGACAATTTGAAGGTTTGGAAAGTACATAAGTTTGACCGGGAGTTGACTTTGATGATATCGAGTTCGGATTGTGGTTCCGGGAATCGGAATAGCTTCATTATGTCATTTGGTACTCGTATGCAAAATTCGAGGTCATTTCGTATTGATTTGATATGGTTCGACATGAGTTGTGGAAGTTAAAAGTTCAAAGTTAATTTAGTTTGATTCGAGGTGCGATCTGTGGTTTTAATGTTGTTATGTGTGGTTTGAGGCCTCGAGTAGGTCCGTGTTATATTTTGAGACTTATTGGTATGTTTTGGACGGGGTCTCGAGGAGCTCGGGTGAGATGCAGACGTGTTTCAGATCATTTTTCATTCTTGTGTGATGGCTGATCTTTGCTAGATCTGGTGTGGTCGCACCTGCAGGGTAATGAGCGTAGGTGCGGTGGCTGCAGATGTGCTCACATGGGCTCAAAAGTGAAGCAAGTCTGTATAAGGGAAGAACGCAGAAGCGGAAAGCTGGGTATAGCTGCATGTCCACAGGAGCGGGAATTTGATTGGTTGGGAGTTTGTACGGAAGTAGGCTTTAGCCTCGCACCTGCAATTGTGCAGAAGCAAAATAGTATTTGCAGGTGCGAGAGGTTGGTTGGATAATGGAGTCCGTAGAAGCGGAGCTTGTGTCGCAGAAGCGACGCCGCAAAAGCGGCGAATATTATCGCAGATGCGAGGTGCCTGGAGAGAAGCTATATTATCAAGGGCTTGGTTACTTTATTCACATTTTGAGTTAGGGAGCTCGAATTTGGACAATTTTGGAGGCGATTTTGACCAAATGAATTGAGGTAAGTGTTTTCTACTCGATTTTGATTATATTTCGTGAATCTATCTTCAATTTTGGCATTTGGATTATGATTTTTAAAGAGAAATTGGGGGGTTTTCTCGAAACTTTCCTAAAGTGAATTTTTGAGTTTTGAACATCGATTCAGAGTTGGATTTGAGTGAAATTAGTATGGTTGGACTCGTAATTGGATGGGTTGTTGGATTTTATGGTTTTTATTTGGTTTCGAGGTGCGGGTCCAGGTTTGACTTTTTTGTTGACTTTTAGTAAATGAGTAAAGATTCGACCTTTATCATCTGGGATTGTTTCCTTAGGAATTATTTGATGTTTTTGAGTTGTCATTGCCTAGTTTCGAGCCTCTCGGAGGTTGATACGCGCGGGATGACACTTCTAGAGTAATATTTGGCTTGCTCGGTATTATTTTTACTTGTTTGAGGTAAGTATCTTATCTAAACTTTGTTGAGGCACTAGTTCCCAGAATTATTTGTGATAGCTATGTGCTATGAGTGCGCACGTGTGTGGGGTTTGAGCCATGTGCTAACATCGAAGGTATTTATCCATGCTCGGGTTGTGCTTAGGTTATGATAAGCCTGGAATTGACTGTTAAGCTTTAAGCTATGATGATTCTCATATTTGTAACATTGTGTGAATGGAATTGACTGTTAAGCTTTAAGCTATGATGATTCTCATATTTGTAACATTGTGTGAATTGTTTGATCCATGTTTGAGGTTACATAGAGGTTTAATCCCTGAATGAACTTGTAAATACTATTTAGTGACAAAATTGCCGAGTATGATAGCACACCTTGCAAATGCCTACACTTTAGCATGTTATTTATACCAGTCCAGAAACATGAGATTTGTTCTTCAATCATCTCATACATGCACTCTTGTTTATTTGATCTTGTGTGATATTACTGGACTGGATGCCTGTGACCAAGCCGGGCGGATTGTGTTGTGATGTCTGTGACCATGCCGGGCAGATAGTGTTGTTATGCCTGTGGCAACGCCAGCCAGATTGTGTTGATATGCTTGTGAACACGTTGGGCGGATTGTGATAATATGCATGTGACCACGCCAGACGAATTAGGATATTGAGCGTGTGACCACGCCGGCCTGGTAGCACGTTGAATTAGCCGTGCTTGCGTGTGGATAAGGATCCATCCCCCTAGGGTAACCCTCTTATGTTTCTCTCTTGATGGTGTACACGCGAATTGTGAGAAACCAAGGCGTTTCTGGTTCATGTAAGCTCTGGGAGAGTTGGTTACTGTTATTGGATCGGGTTGCGCGCCGCAACAGACTGATATTTGATTATTACATTTCATTTTTACTTGCAATTTCCTTGACTAGTTACCTGATTTACTTGCATATCTTCCGTATATGCTAGATTGTTGACTGAGCAGAACACTTTAAAATAAAAAACTATGAGCATCAAAGTGGTTTTACCTGAGATTTCATGATTTGATAATATATCTATTCTATACTTGTTGAAATTATGAACTGCACGGGTATTACTGAGTATCATTATAGTTCTTGCTTCTTTTACTCGCCGAGGTTAGTTAGGATAATTATTGAGTACATGGGGTGGGTTGTACTTGTACTACACTTCTGCACCTTGCGTGCAATCTTAGAGTTGTTGCTGTATATGGCAGGAGCTGGCATTGAAGATGTACCTGCGATCCAGTTATGGCTATCACTTGTCCTTGGTAGCTTTAGATTCATATTCTGTTCATGCACAATCCAAACAGATGTTGTAATTATTTAAGTTCAATTTTTGTAAAATCTATGTCTTAGTGGCTCATGACTTGTACTACCAGTCCTTAAGGAGTTGTATAAAAATTCAATTATTTCTTTTATGACTCTTATCATTATCACTATATAGTATTTTATTGTTATTTGGCTTAATTAGCGGTTTGGTTTAGGTGCCATCACAACATATTGGATTTTGGGTCGTGAGAAGTTGGTATCAAAGCTCTAGGTTCAAAGGTTCTACGACTCATGAGCAAGTAGTCTAGTAGAGTCTTGCAGATCGGTATTATGACGTCCATACCTATCTTCGGGAGGCTACAGGGCATCTAGGAGAAACGTCCCATCTTTCTTTCCTTATCGTGTTCAGCTTGAAGAGTATCTCTTTGAATTCCTTCCACTTACTCGTATGTTATGTGAGCGCTCGGTATTAGCTATGCATCGATAGCTTGTGATCTCCATGGATAAGGGGGTGAGATATTTTTTTGGTTTTGATGATGGGCCAGTCTGGAGGACTTGAGGCCGGGTTTTGACCGTAGCTTGGGATCG